TTATCATGGCCTCGGGGATTCATTATCGGACAGGACATAGGTGTACGGCATAATCTAAGCAGTTATTACAGAATTTTAGAAACGAAGGTTTTATCTCCCGTTTTTTAAAACAAAGGAAATGAGCCAAGTGCTGGCTGCAGTGCAGAGATTAAATAGCCTACTGAATCACACAGCGGGACTCGGTGCTTTGTGAGAGAGAGAATGAATGAGATGAGGCCACCACGAGGTGTGGGGGGCTCTGCAGAGCAGGACCGAAGCCTCACTGTGGACTGTGTGTGTCCCCCAAAGTCACGTGGCGAGTAACCCCACTGTGCTGGCGCTGGAGGCCGGCCTGTGGGTGATTAGGTCAGGAGGGTGTGGCCCTCCTGAATGGGATTAGTGCCCTCCCAAGTGCAGACACTAGACGGGCTATTGGCTGTGAGCCCAGATGTGGCCTCACCACACCCACCTGCTGGCACCAGGGGCCGGACTTCCCACCCCCAGACTGTGAGAAAGGAAGGCTGATGTTCCTGCCCACCTGTCTGCGGGGTCTCCGCCGGCCAGACAGGCGGCAGAGGGGAGGAGACAGGGGACCTCAGGCTGCCTTGGGCAGCCCGGCACTGAATGGGGGCACCAGCCAGGCTTCAGGAGGTCGCTAGCCTAGCCCTGAGTGAGGGCCCTTCGCTCCTGAGTGACCTGAGGAAGCACTGGCAGGGGCAGGCCCTGGTGGCTGGCCAGACCCAGGTGCTCCAGGCCGGGCAGGCCCATTAATCCGCATGGCTAGGCAGATGTGGCCGATGGAGCAGGTGTGTGCCTGAGCCGGGGTGAGCTGGATGGGAGGCAGCTTCTGCCAGGTGGCTCGTGGCCTGCGACTGGCAGGGGCCCCAGGCCACAGGCCCCACATGGCAGCCGGCGGTGGGGGGGGAGGGGACTTAAAAGCAGGTCGTGGGAGGAAGGATGACTGTGACCGCACGCCCGGCAAGGCCAGCCCTGGGCTGTGAGATTTGCACCTGTCGTCCTGGGAAATTCAAAGAGCGTCTCTGTCTGCTTCCAGGGTCCCCGTTTGGATGCCCAGTGACAGGGGCCCCGAGTTGTTTGTGACTAAAGCCCTGAGGCTGCAGCCACACGGTCACTGAGGTGCCGGGCGGGCATCAGAGCCAGACCCTGGACTGGGCACCTGAATTGGGGGTTGGGATAAAATGAATTGGGGGTTGGGATAAAATGCCCGGTCAATATACCATCCCAACCCCAGTTCAGGGCCAGACTGCTGACTCACCTTCCCTGGGCCTCGCTTTCCTCCGACCCGGAGTCAGAGCGGCCCCCGGGGCTACAGGAGGGCATAACCGGCGTTGGTACGGCCTTACTGATGTTGTTTAACCAAAGGACCTTGGCTGTGCCATCAGACAGGACCCGCAGCTGCGGAGGAGGGAGGGGGCGGGACTGGGCGGGCAACTCAGGCCTAGAGCTAGGCTGGCACAGGGTGAGGCTGCAGTGGGAGGGGCCTGGGCAGCCTGAGCCCCCAGGCCTGCAGGGGCCCTCCCCTCCCCCCAGGGACTGCAGAGGAAAGGGGACCCTTTTGCTGCGAGTCTCACAGCGTGGGTGTTGGAGTTAGTGGTGCCGAAGGCTCCGGTTTCCATCTCTAAGGGCGAAAGGGGACGTGGGTGTGGGAGGCATGTCCACCACCGCCCTGGCTCTTCAAGGCCAGAGCTTTGCCAGCCTACACGCGCCCCCTGGTGGGCGGGGACGCAGGTCTCAGGACGCCCCGTGGCTCCTCCAGGTGGTGCCAGGTCCAGGCTGCTGAGCCCAAAGCTGCACAGGCCTGTGACCCAAAGCCTCGGCACACTGCCAGGAGGGCTGCCACGCGCCCCCGGCCCCAGCCGGGCTGTGCCGAGGGCCAGGGTCAGACCGGCGTCCACATTGGGACGCCAGCACAGGTGAGGGTGAGGCTGCCCACAGCTCCCTTCAGCCCAGCCCTGGGAGGAGGACTGCCCACCGTCCTACAGGCCCCTCCCTCAGGAGGGCTGGGAAGACGGGGGGGGGGGGGGGGTGCTGCCTTGGCAGAGGGGCGAGGGAGACAAAGGCCTGGGGTGCCTTCACTGCCGAGGAGCAGGGGATGCCCAGCGTGGGTCGCGGTGTCTTCTCCTAGTCTGGGACGGGTGGTTATGCTTTGCGTGGTAATCACCCACTGACCCAGGAACCTGCTTTCAGGCTGAAGCGAGGGTGCCCATATGACCGACAGGCACAGGGAGGCCCCGAGAGGGAGCAGAGCACCCGGGACGGTCCTGAGACAAGGTCAGAACCACAGCTTTTGGCAAGTCAGAAGATGGCGTTTGGCAAGCAATGAATCTTGGCACTAACTGCGGTATAAAAAGATGAGCAGGGTGGCTCAGGGGTTGAGCGTCAACCTATGAACCAGGAGGTCACGGTTCGATTCCTGTCAGGGCACAGGCCCTGGTTGTGGGCTCGGTCCCCAGTGTGGGGCATGCAGAAGGCGGCCGATCGAAGATTCTCTCTCACCATTGATGCTTCCATCTCTTGCTTCCTTCCTCTCTGAAATCCATAGAAATATGTATTCAAAGACGCACAGAGTGGCATTGTTATGGTAATAGAAACAGAACAACCCGGTGCAGGTAAATGAACTCTGGTCTTTCCTGAAAGGCAGGCTCAGGCGTGGGAAGGCATTTCTGATGGAAACTGCAGAACTGGACCTCATTTTATTAACGCCGTTTGTATACCTTACCCACCAGCACGTGTGCACAGGAAGCCATCAGCAAGTGCCTTCCTGGTCCCGTGTTGTCTGCGGCCGATGGGCTGTGGCTTTTACTGTCCCCGTGTTCCGTGGCAACGGCGGCTCCTCGCTGGCAGAGCTGGCGCCCTGCGGCCAGCGCCATGTCGGAGGCAGCCACCCTGCGGACGCTCCATGCCAGCTTTACTCCAAGAAACCCAGTTCCCTCCTGTGTGCCCCTGGGTGTGGCCACCTCCCCCGTGATGGCTCTGTAGCACCTTTACTCCCATGAATTCCCGCCGGGCAGGGGCTGTGGCAAACACCGCGGGGGCTTGTCCACCAAGAGCGCTTCTGAACTCCTCAGCGTCCCCGAGACAGAGTACACAGACAGGGGGCGTATGTAGCACGGGGCTGGGGTGCCTCTCCCGAGGAATCCACACAGCAGCCGCCCGACGGCCACGCAGCCAGTCTGCCCAACCCACTGCCCGACAGCCACCAGCCATCCGCCCAGCCCACTGCCCGACAGCCACCAGCCAGTCCTCCCAGTCCACTGTCTGATGGCCACCAACCAGTCTTCCCCCCCACTGCCCAGACAGCCACCAGCCAGTCCTCCCAGCCCACTGCCTGGACAGCCACGCAGCCATCCGCCCAGCCCACTGCCTGGGACAACTGGGCATGGCATCTGCCTGCCTGTGCTTCCCCAAGCCCAGGGCATAGCCTCTGGGACCCCCAGGAAGCGCCAGCGAGGAGACACGCACTGGGGAGCCACAGCCACAGACGCACCCCCAGTTCTCCTCGTCCACATGCATGCCTCAGAGGTTGGCTGCTGTGCCAGGCGCCCAGGGCAAGAGAGACGGAACATCTGGTGCCACGCGGTGGCCGCAACCAGGCACAAGGCCCTGAACCTGGCGTTGTGTTCCCTGCTGCAGGAGATTCTACCGCGGGGTTCTACCAGGCTCATCGAGGGCCTGGCGGTGATAGTTACAGAAACAGCACGGGCACAAGGGCACATGGACCTCGGGTCAGAATTTTGCTCCCTCACCAGGTTGCAAAATCCAGAGACAGGGCTCTGGCGCTGGGGTCCTTGTGATGCCTGGGAGCGAGGACAGGCTTTGGGTTTGGTGAATCAAAACCATGTGAAATAAGCCACTGCCAGAAAGACAACTACAAGGGATTTCACTCACATGGGGAACATAATAAAAACAGGCAAACAAAATAGAAATAGATTCTCAGACACAGAGAACAGACTGACAGCTGTCAGTGGGGAGAAGAGTTGCAGGGCTGTGTGAATACACTGAAGACATTAAACAAAAAACAAAAAGTCTATATAATAAAAATTATAGTAACGCCCACGCCCACCTCTGCTTTTCTCTCTAGCGCTTTCTTCTGTGGGACCTACCTTCCCAGCCCCTCTCCACCTGCTGCTCATGCAGGTCCCAGCTTAGCATCACTGGCCTCTGACCCCTCTCCACCACGGGCCTGAGGACGTGGGTGCAGGGCAGCCACGAGAGGACAGCTCTGTGCGCTCCACTCACACAGGTCCCCGCCACAGAGCCACAGCCACAGGGGCCAGGAGCTGGAGGGGAAGGGGCTGGTGTTTCCTGGGACAGGGTTTCCTCCGGGGATGAGGACGAGGTCTGAGACGGGGCTGGTGGCCGGGCAGCAAGGTGGATGCACGGACAGCACCGAAGGGGGGCGGTTAAGAGGATAACATGTCATGTAGATTTTCCACAGTAGAGTTTGCTCAGTCTCTCTCTCAGGGATCCTTTCCTGTCCTTTGGCCTAAGCTCGGAGCCCTGTGTTATGTTCCCAGGCCCCATCCCTACGGGAACGTCTTCCTTCAGTTCATCTTTCTCACAGGTTGTGGGTAGAATGCAAGCGGGTCGCGTCTCCCTCATCGGTCACTGTGCACAGAGCCGGGCCACTGAGCAGTGCTGCTGAGTGTGAAGAGTGTAGACCCCGGTTTCCTTCCTCAGCCCCGGTCAATGTCAGGGAAAGTGACTGCTAAGACACTCGATGCGCTGTTGTCAATGTACCTAAGCCTCAGGCGACAGGCTGCCATCCTGGAGAATGAGAACGATGGGTGTGCTATGTCGCGTCTGTGAGAAGTTCGAGTCCCGATTCACCTGAAATGCAGGTTCTTTCTGCTGCGGGTGAGCCTACGGGTCCTGAGACGACATGTTTGCCAGATAAATGCTCAGGAAACCGGAAATCACACTCTGGTTCAGGCTTTGTAAGGGCAGCCTCCCCAGGGCCACCTGCTGGGTTAACGCTGTGTTTTGTCTTCCCAAACCAGATATTCATCTTTGAGAACAACATCTACTACTGCGCTCACGTGGGGAAGCAGGCCATCCGCGTGGTCTCCACAGGGAAGGAGGACGTCATCTACAATGGCCTCAGCGACTGGCTGTACGAAGGTGAGCCGCCGAGCAGCCGAGGAGTGGGGTCGTGTGGTTGTTGTGGTCAAGTGGTTCCATGAGTGCCATGGCTGTCATGGTTGCTGAGGTTACCATGGTTGTGTGGTCATGTGGTTCCATGGTTATGTGGTCATGTGGTTCCATGGTTGCCATGGTTGTGTGGTTCCATGGTTGCTATGGTTCTATGGTCATGTGGTTCCATGGTTGTCATGGTTGTGTGGTTCCATGGTTGCCATGGTTGTGTGGTCATGTAGTGCTGTGGTTGCTGGGGTCATGTGGTTCCATGGTTGTGTTGTCATGTGGTGCCATGTTGCTGTGGTCATGTGGTTCCATGGTTGCCATGGTTGCTGTGGTCATGTGGTTCCATAGTTGTGTGGTCATGTGGTGCCATGGCTGCCGCAGTTACTATGGTTGATGTGGTCATGTGGTTCTATGGTTGCTATGGTTATTGTGGTTGCTGTGGTCATGTGGTCACTGTAGTCGCCACTGCCCCTGGTGGTGGCTGGTAGCATTTCCTTTCACGTTAACTATAAAGCCAGCTCCAGCTTCTGAGGTTCTGCTAATTACAACAGACTGGTAGCGTCAGGCAGCAGCAGGAGATGGGGCAGGTGTGGGGCTTCCCACAACCCAAGCTCTTCGGCTCATGGGCAGGGGCGCTGTCTAGGAGGCACAGTGTACTTGAGGCGACTCTGGGACCGTGGGCTGTGCACAGGTTTCCAATGCTCCGAGAGGCAGAGTGCCTCTCTGCCAGTGGGCAGCGTTGGAAGGAGTAACCAGTTACGCTTCTGAAAGAAGCAGATCCAAGTGGCTGTCGTCCCGGGTCCTTGCCTTGTGGGATGTTTCCACCTGGTTTCCTCTGGCCTGAGGACCAGCTGTGGGCTGTATTCCACAGCGAGCCAGCGCAGTGCAGGGCTCTGCTCTCCACACGCGGCCGCCCGCTCAGAGGCCCTCCCCACCCCGCCCCGCGCTGCTGGCTATTCACAGGCTCCATGCCGAGCCCTGTGCGATTTCCTCTTACCCTCTGCCTCAGGCGTGTGTAACGGATGGATGCTGTGACAGCATTGCAGATGGTGCCTGAGCGCCTCACCGGCTCTCACAGCGCTGGAGGCTGCTGGTCCAGGTCGCGGTGCTGTGAGGCGGTGCCTGGTGAAGGGTCTCCTCCTGGTCCTCACTTGGTGGGGAGAGGCACGCCCTGGTCTCCTCACCCCGTTGGGGGGATGTCACCCCTCCGCCAAAGGCCCCACTGAGCACCATCCCGTGGGGCTCAGGCTTCTGTAGCCCCTCCTCACAGCCGGTGACGACTGTGACTGACACGTGGTGGCTGAGCCCAGGGGAGTTAGGTCACTGAGGTTGTGGGTACGGCCTTAAGGGTCACATTGTTCATGTTTTGGACAATTGTCTTCCCATAAACCCAGGTGTGAGCCTGGAACCACACACCTGCTGGCCTGCGGTGTGGCTCATGCTGCTCACCTGCCCTCACGTGGCCACCATGCGGTCTTAGCTGAGGGGGCTCTGGCTGTCATCAAGCACAGAAATCATCTCTTCTCCCCTCCACATTGCGTGGTGCGGTCCGCAAGCTGTCACCAGAGACAACTTCCCGGTGAAAGTTGCTGAAAACACTAAAGTTTGGCTTCTAGGGCTTGGCCTCTATATATATATGGCTAATATGCTAGTATCCTTTCCACTGTCCGACCAATCACTCTGGTGCACACTGACCGCCAGAAGGTAGACGCTCAATTCAGGAACTGCCATGATGCATACTTGCTATTTACAGAGAAACAGCAGCACAGACTTGGCCAACAAGACAACACTCGGCTTCCCCCACGTGGGACACAGGCCCTGCCACCACCCCGGAATGACAGCCAACCAAATCATAGCCAAACCTGCCAAGACCCCATAGCCAGCCTGGAAATGGTCCCTGTAGGTGCCAGGTAATGATAGCAAGGAGCAACGGCCATCTTTCTCCTAGCAACTAGCCTCCTTGGAGTTTCTTAGCCCAGGAACATGACTTGCTTTATAGCCAGGTGCAAACATTTTACACGTTAACCAAATGTCTGTGAAGCATTTTCATGTGCCTCATCTCATTTGATCCTCACAGAAGTCCTGAATTAGGCAGATAGGAGACTTGGCGGAATCCTATTTTCTTCTCATTAGCCGGAAAACGGAGATTTAGAAAGCTTGGAAACTTGACCCAACTGAAAAGAAATAAGAAATGGTGGACCTTGAAAATGACTTTAGGTTTTTTCACTGCACAGAATATAGTCAAACACTGCTGCAGTTAAATATTTTACCCTTTGTTCTCCCTGCATGATCTACAATAGTAATCTGCTTTGTGTTGATATTTACTGCTGTGTTGCTGACAATTACCTGAAAGAGAAGTTGGGGTGCTTCACTGGACTATAGAAAACCGAGCAAGCATAACCCAGCTGCCCGAGAGCTCATGCTTTAAGTATCCCCTCAAGAGGGGCCAGCGCGTGTCCAGGCTCCCCCAGCTCCAGCATGGCAGTGTGGCAGCGTGGCAGCATGGTGGCGGGGAGACCAGGAGTGTGGCCCGACACAGCTGTCCCATCTCAGGCTCATAGCACAACCAGGAGAAAGTAAAGACAAAGTCTGTGGCATACCCCCCCACTCCTCCACCCCATCCGGCCGAGTCATCACATCCCTGGGGATGTGACACATTAGGAAGGCTGGGAACGTCTCGGGCTTCCCGCCCATCCACCAGGGCTTGGAGGTGGGCATGCAGCCACCCACATCAGCCAACATCCACCGCTGCCCATCCTGGCCTCCCGCCCCTGCGTGCAGGGGGCTCAAGTGAGGGTGGGGGGATCTCGAGTCTCTGGGGCGCACATAAGAACAGACCCAGCTCCTGGCCATCCTCCCCAAACCCTTTCCTCCTGAGCTGAGTTACGGTCCGTGGGCTCTCCGAGACCAGGCATGCTGTGGGTGGTGGTGTGGTTTGAAGCCAGGAGTGGGGCGTGGCGAGCTGTCATGGCTGAGTCTGTAGGCCTGGGTAGGCAGGCTGCTGTCCCTGGTTCCTCTACCTGCACCTCCAGGACCTGGTAGGGGTGGGGCGCGCCCTCTTGGCTGGGTCTTAAGGAAGGGCCTTTGTTTCACTGGAGTGGTGTACTAGTCAGGAGGAATCATCTTTAAAGGGAAAGGAAGCTGAAAGGGGGATTGAAACGAGGGAGCGACCTTCCCAGAGGATCCTTCATAGACCCTGACTCAGGGTGCCAGGACGGAGAAAGGAGCTGATTGCTCCGCCCGAGACCTCCCAGCACAGGGAACACTGAAATACAGGGTGCTCAGCCAGTGATGGGAAGGGCATGTGCATTCGAGAGAGAGTGAGTGTGTGTGTGTGTGTGTGTGTGTGTGTGTGTGTGTGTGTGTGTGTGACAGAGAGCGAGAGAAACAGGGACAAAGACAGAGAGTCAAAGCAAGACGCACAGGAAGAGACAAGGCAAGGAGCAGAGAGAGAATAGAAGGCACAGGCAGAGGTCAGAGACAGACTCGGGAAACAGATTTCAGCTCAGCTGCCGAAGCCACCATAACCAGTTTGAGGACTAAGTACTCCGCCCGCCACGTTGCTGTCTCCGGCAGCATTGCTGTCCTTCATGTCAGGGAACAGGTGACCTGCCTCTTAGTTGGCATGTGGTTGAGTTGCCCTTGAGTCCCAGGTGGCTTTGCGGGGAGCCATCCGCCCGTCCTTGATCCTCCCCGTGGGTCCGCACGGGCCCAGTTAGCTGGGCACCACCGAAGGCCTGGGGCCGCCCACCCCCAGGAGCAGCCTCTGGGAGAGTCCCGCTATGCGTCTCCAGCCCAGAGAAGACCTGCTGTCTTCCATCCGCAGCATACAAGTAGCAGCAGCCATTGGGCAGCGTGTCAGCTCCCAGCGCCTGGAGGGATTGCATGCTGGCTGCAGGAGCACGCTGCCCCCTGGTGGTGGCCGAGCACATGGTTCTGAGCTCCGTGAGGGTTTCTGGAACTGGCAGGTCCTCTTAAAGGTAGCGGACAGGTGAATGCTGTGCAGATCACAGCGCTGGCCGGCGAGGGAGCTGCCCGTTGGCCTCCTGGCTGAAGCCCTGCCAGTTTCTTTCTTGGTGCCCGCCCCCCTCACCCATTTGATCCTGCTCTCCGCACCTCAGATACGATATGTAGTGGCAGGAAAAGGCAGCAGATGCAGTGGGAACAAACCAGGTTTCCTGCATTTAGAACGAGGCTATTTATTTCCAATACCGATCCGCCAGGTCGGCTCTTTGTGTCCGCGGTTTCCCGGGCGGGACGCAGATTTCTGGGGCCGTTGGTTTTCTCCAGTGTGCGTGGCCCGGGGTGTGGTCATGTTCCTAATCAAAGGTCCCGGGAGGCACTGGTATCTCTGTGTGTGTGTGTGTGTGTGTGTGTGTGTGTGTGTGTGTGTTTACCCTCCATCTGTGTGTGTGTGTTACCCTCACCGGAGGGTATTCTTTCTCACTGATTTTTAAAGAGTTGAAGGGAGGGGAAGAGAGAGAAACACTGATGTAAGAGAGACACATACCGTAGATTGGCTGCCTCCTGCATGACCGAGCCTGCAACTGGGGCATGTCTTGCTGTCTGTGTTCTGTTCCGATGTGTATCTCGGAATTGAACTTGGAACCCTTCAGTCTGAGGGCCAACGCTCTATTCACTGAGCCCCACTGGCCAGGGCTTTGCTGTACTTGACAGCAGGGACCCCCCACTGAGCCAGGGGGGGCCTGCCTTCAAACCTCACATTGCCTCCCAGGCGCCACCAGCTCTTCTCAAAGGAAAGGCGTGGCTCCGCCCAGCCTGCCACCGTCACCTGCGTGAGAAGGCTGCCCACTCAGGGGCGTGCGGACTGGGAGCAGATAAAGCTCACGTCCCATGCACAGTGACCTCGCCTCTGTAGCCATGTCCAGTCCGAGGCCTTGGCTGCTCCCCCAGGAAATCAGGACGCCCGCTGGGACGGGCTCTTGGAATAACTCAGCCTGAGCTCGGGGGCTGCCGGC